TAACATTTCAATGTTAAACATTGTATTTTTAATGACAATGTATAAAAGTGTAGCAATAATTGCTATAAAAATGATTAGCAGGATCACATAATTTTATGTTAGAATCTTAAATCAATCAAATCAAAGAATGATTACTGAAAAACAAGATTTCTAATCTACCTGTTATAGTATTGTATTAAAAGAATACCAGGAATTTAAAAGCCATTGACAAGACTGAATTCATGTCAACAATAAAGTCCTTTAAAAGTGATGTTACAGGTTGTCTGTATTTTTATGCAAGAAAAAAAATGACAAAAGAATAAAGTCTTTTAGAAACGCTCCCTTAAAATACTGTACTATAGTTAAAGAGGCAAAAACTGAACGAAAAATATGTATGAATCAAAAGTTCTCAGTTCTTACAATATTTAAAAATTGTTCTTAGTTCTGAATTATAGCTTTAACTTTATAAGTCAGAATTTTCTATGCTACTGGTTATCTGTCTTAACGTTCAGAGAAAAAGTGGCAAAAAATAAAGTGTTAAAACAGAAAAGTAGCAAAAACAGAACAAAAAGAATTCTCGATTCTTAAGGAAAAAAAAGTGTTGGAAAAACACAGAAATTGATTTGCCTGAATATAATTTTAAAAAATCAGCAGAACAAAACTCCTGGTTCAGTATAAAGTAATTTAGTTTCGTTTCAATTCTTCAAATTTCATTTTTCTATTTGTCTTTTAGAACTTAACAACTGTGTGTAAAAACTATTACTAATAATGTACAGTAGGAAATACATTTTTAGATTATTTTTTGTTAAATTTATTCAATCACCCCAACGCCAAAAAAAAAAAAAAATGTTGAAAAATATTTTGTTGAATATTTGGCCAATCAAATATTTGGCTAGAAAATGTGAATAATGACCGAATATTCATTACTTTCCTAGTAATTACACCTTTCTGACCAATATTAATTTTAATTGTAGTTTAACTGGTATGAGACAGATATTGTTTCTGACATTTTAAAAGGGTCGTAGCTATCGGTTAATTCAAAAACATCAATCGACTGACGTTACCTTTCAAGATTCAGGATCTCGTTCACTTTTTTTTGTTTAAGCATTTTTTGCTAATTTTGTGGTGATTCATCAGATGGCAGACTTGTCACATTGGAACTAATTAGCATACATTTTAATTAAGTAATTCTTGAAAGTTAAATTTAAACATTAAATTAATTGTTACCATCAATGTTACGTATATCAGATTGTGTGATAAATACAGCTGAATGTTGATCTCTTTTCATCCTCTTGGAAACATATGGTATCACTTTGCTCCTTAGTCAGTCTCCTGTTAAAAGATGGTTTGTTAGAAGGATGGAGATTCTCCGTCCATGTATCTGACTGAATCTTAGAGATTCTGATTTGAACATTAGTATCTGCTGAGGTGATTTTTTTTTTCTGCCAGATATCATACTTTTTCTTGGAACAAAAGTTTATTTGCTGAACAGCTCAAATAAACAAAGTTCTCAATGAAAACTTGAAATGTGGAATTATTTTGAATCTTCTGATAGTGTTCCTGTCTCTAGTCAATGCTGTTACGTGTGATAGCTCGAGTAATACAGTGAAGTGTTTTATCAGTCTGTACTAAAACTGCCTAAGTGATTGTAATGAGCTATCATATCTGCATGTGGATATAATAACTGATGAGTAGTTATGTTATATTGAATTCCAATCCTTGTTATTGTGCTAACACAAACTGAGTTTTCATGCATAACATAAACTTTGCTTCATTTTACGACCTTTTCTTGTTCATATTTATTTGCTTTACCCTGGTTCCACAGGGGAGATCCAGGATTTAGTTTCAATACATTAAAACCAAAAGGTTAAGAATTTCCAAACATGTTGCGGATGAATATGTATAGTCGGTAAAAAAATATGAATAGTTAAAACAAAATGTACTGCAGAAATTTAATATTTTCAGATGGATAGATTTCTCAATCTATAAATGTAGACCAGATATTCTAAAAATAAGATGAAGTAACGGATGTAAAGATGATTCATACGTTTGTTAAAAGTGAAAGAAGAAAAAAGCAGATGTAGAGAGGTCGTGCATTCAAAATTTTGATGAAGAGAGGCGTAAGGAAAAAGCAAACATATTGGATAAGTACTTACAGATAAATAGAAGAACCATTACAGTTTATAGTCCAGAGGAAGTCTATTGTTTTATCTGTACTTAAATAGAATTAATTGATCATATGATTTTTCAAAATGTTTTACTTAATAGACGCTTTCAGTTTCAAACACTGAATGGCAAATACTTTCGTATAAAATTTTCCTGTATCTGTATGTCTAAGTTCTAACGATATCTAAGAAAGCTTTTTTTTTCTTTTCTTTTTCTTTTTTTTTCATGACAATTTGAAGTTTATATTAGTTTTAATCAATTTAGCTTTTAAAACGTTCTTTATTATGTCCTGTATATTCTTTGATATTTCTTTTTTTGTACAAAATTTTTTATGAGATTGTTGTAGTTAAGATTGCCTGGGAAGTGGTTTTTCCTCTTTTCTATAAAGTTTTTATATCTGAGTAGCACATTTTTCAGGTTCTGAATAATATGGTATAGGTTAGATTTGTTTAAAAAAAAAAGTCTGTTTTGGCATTATGCACTCAGAAATTGGTTCATATAAAAGTTCCTGTGAGTTTACTTCAGGTTAATCCTTGGTATTAGCTGAGTAGTGTGGCAGCCTTTTGTTTCAGGACTGTCCTAGTTATCTTGCCTTGTGTTTTTTGTTTGATCAAATAGGATTCTTCTTTTTTTCTTAGTTGGAAGTTTGTTGATATCTACTACTGGCCTTGGACAAGCGAGTTTTGCAAGTATGTCAGCCTCCTCGTTGCCCCTAATACCACAAAGCGCTTTTATCTATGTAATGTTTTCTTTTATGGATTTAAGTTGGAATTCATGTCAGTTTTATGAAGCTTGTCTTAAGTCTTGGAGTCTAGAAAGTAAATCAGAAAATATATTGACCGTTTGTTTGATAATTTGATGTTTTAGTTAATAAATTGTCCATAGTTTGGCCTTAAATGGTCTACATGGTCTGTTATTCCTTAGAGCTTGTCATCAATTATTTGTCCTTCCTGGAAAACAGCAAATGTTTTCCAGCCTGTTTTCATTCATATGTAGCATGTCACAACTCCTCTGTTGTTTGTAATTGCCAACTCTTAAGCATTTCTGTTCCGTTGAAAATTATAAATTTTAAAATTTGTATGTTGAAACTGACTATAGAATCAAGTTCTTGAATATTAAGGTTAATCAGTACCATCTCATCTCTGCTAACAATAATAATTTTGATTTGCATGTTTATTCGCTTTACTTTCTAGAATTGAGCACCACATTTGAAATAAATAATCGTATCAACTTTTTATTTTTATAAGGGGAATGCCTTTCTAAATTGACTATCAAATTCATGCATTGTTTGTTAGTGCTCAGCTTGTACAGGTTTTGCTATAGGAATAGTCTACTCAACTTCAAACATAGTTGCTGAGCTGGAACACATTTTCATCATTCACTTACAATGGATATTATCTTGCAGCTACTGATTTTTTTAATTATTTGACTTCTAGTTATATCCCCAGTAGCAGAACCAGCATGACACAGTGGTGGACACCAAAGATTTTTTTTCTGTGAGATTCATATTTTTCTTTTTAGGGGATCACTTGTACTTAGATTCACGATATTTCAATGAGAGAAACTTACTTTTTCCCCTCTCACTTACCCTATGTTCTGTTATTAGAACATCAGGGTTGCCACTACTCAGGGAGAACAGGGAAAACCTGAAAAATACAGGGAATTTAAAAATCACCTAAAATAACAGGGAAAATGCAGGGAATTTTGATTTTTTCTTTACAAACCAGTAAAATACCAGTAAAATTTTGTTTCTTACTTTTGTCTTTTAAAAATTGGTGACCACTCAAAGCGTAATCTATGGGATATTTAACCATGATATTTCAGCTATAATAAACTATTTCATTTACGATAGCATTATTTAAGTATGCTCAGCTGTTTTTCCAGCAATTAAAACTAATAAATATAGTTAGCCCAATATAGCTCACACAAGAGCGCAGTAATTGTTGTTTGCTCGTAATATAATGTGTGCAGGGAAAACACAGGGAACTTTTTTTTCCAAATTTGAGTGGCAACCCTGAACATCGTTTTTTTAATTTTGAAAGAATTGTTAATGTCTGATTTTGGAATGTTTTAAACTTTATTTACTTGCAATCTTTATTTAGTTCAACCTGTGTTAAGTTTTTTTTTTTTTTTTTTTTTTTAATGTTTATTTCTTTGAGTTAAAAGTAATTGAATGGAAGAATCTTTTTCTTTTTACTAAATTTAACACTGACAATTAGTCCCAGGAATTAATTTTAAACACCATCTTTTCATCGTGCAGTCATTTCATCACACATTGCATGTAATATAGACAGTCTTGCTTTTTAAAAATTTACAAGTGTAATGTCCTGCAAAGTTTTTTATTAGGTTAAAATAAATTGCTAATAATAAATAAAATATTAAGTTGTTATGTATTTAAATGTAAAATGGTTCTGTACAAAAATTCAAGGTTTTGTATACATTAAGGCAATTAAGAACAGTATAAACCATCTGTCTTTTTAAAATGACACTGTTTTATACTCTGCTCTAAGTGTTTCATAAAATAAAGGTTTTACTACAGAAAAACTTTAAACCAAAAGTAAACTTCCTATTCTATGCTTTTTTTTTCCGGCAATGGTAGCATAAAATAGAATCTTAATTTGTTTACAGAGTAGAACTCGTTTTTTGAGCGAAGCTGGAAAAAATTAGTTAATAGTTATTTATTTAAAAGAAATTCTTGGATTGAAAATGTGTATATTTAAAGTTTTCCCCATTTCAGAAACTTGGAAGCCACCTATTATTTTTATATTTTAAAAACTCATAAATGGGTTCACAAAATGCACAAGTGTTGAAATGTAAATTTACATGTCCTACTGATGTAAATATTTTTACATTTAGAATGTCAGAGCAAAGGCATAAAGAACAGAGAAAACAAATCTGGTCATCAATATCCATGGTCAAAGCTGTTGAAGCTATAAAAGACGAAAAAATGCAGTGGAAAGAAGCAGCAGAAACTTTTAATGTTCCTGAAATTATATTATTAAAATTGTTTGAAGAAAAATATGGCAATCCAAAAGTAATAATTCCGTCAGACATTACAGATCCATCTATTTTAAAATCAAAATATGAATACAAAAATGAAGGTAATGGCAAACAACTGGCAGTACAAGAATGGTCATTGCTGTATATGGCAGAAGCAATAAAAGCTATAAAAAATGAGAAACTAAGCTGGAAATATGCAGCTAGAATGTTTGGGGTTCCGAAAGCAACACTGGCCAAACTGTTGGGAGAAATATTTGGAAATTCTGGTTCTGAAAAAGCCTCGAAGATAAAAATGGATTGCCCAGCTTCTTTCGAACTAAATGGAGATAAATTTGAAGTTGAAGATAGCAATGTACAACATATCTGCTCTTCATCACTCATAGACAGAGCTATAAAAGCTGTGAAAGAAGAAAAAGTGGGATGGAAGAAAGCTGCAAAAACATTTAAGGTTCCAAAAGCAACATTAAAAAGAAAGTTATATGAAAATCATGGCATTTCTTGTGAAGAATCAAAAGCGCTTCTCAGACCTATCTTAAATGGCGATTTTCAAGTGAGTGAAAAACAAGCATGGTCACCAGAATCTTTAGAAAAAGCACTAAAGGCTGTAAAAGAAGAAAAAATTGGATGGAAAAAAGCAGCAAAAACTTTTGGGGTGCCGAAAGCGACACTAAGAAGATTGTTGTATGAGAAAGCAGATAGCTGTTGTCCCGCAATTAATTCCCCAACATTAGGCGATTTTGACAATAAAGACAAGCATGAGCAAGGGCTGATTAAAAAGGCATGGTCACTAGAATCAATGAAAAAAGCCCTAGAAGCTGTAATAACAAAAAAACTTGGATTGAAAGAAGCAGCAGAAACATTTCAGGTACCAAAAACAACACTAAGATTATTGTTATACATGAAATACGGCATTCCTAATAAAGTATCTCAAGCAAGTATTTCTTGTCTTCCTATAATTACTCCTACTATAGAAGGTAATTTTGATGTTGGAGACAACAATTCACACCAACAAGTGAAACAAGCATGGTCGCCAAGATCTATTAAAGAAATGCTGGAAGCACTGAAAATAAAAAGAAGTAGAATTCAAAAAGCAGCAGAAGCTTTAGGGGTTCCAAAATTCATACTAATGAGATTGCTTTGCAAAAAATGTGGTATTCCTGAAAGAGCATCTGAAGTGCAATTAAATGATGAAATCCTCAAAACAGTAGAATTCAATGTAAAGGATCAGTGGGAACAGCAAGAAATTACACAATCAAAATCCGTAGAAAATGCTATGAAAGCTGTTAAAGCTCTAAAAATAAGATGGAGAGAAGCTGCTAAAATATTTGGAGTTTCAAAAGCAGCATTAAGGATATCATGTGATAAGAATAGTATTTCTGGAGGAGCATCTCAAGTAAGAATGTGTTGTTCAGAAGTTCTTACTTCAAAGCAGGATGGAAATTTTAAAATAAGAGAGGGCAACAAGGATCAACAGGAAATAGAACAATCTTCTTCACCTATATGTGTGGTACAATCATTAAAAGAAGAATCATTGAATTGGTTGGGACTAAATGAGCAAACAGAGATAACTGAAGTTCACAAGAAAAATTTAAAACGATTGTTTCAAGATGATGATATTATTGGTGATAAAACTTCGCCAGCAAAAACGAAACGCCTAAGTCTTCTTAACTCAGATGAGAAGTTTAGAATGCAAGATGGTTGTGAAGAACAAGATGTAAGCCAAACAATGGCAACAGGATCTACGATGAAAGTTATAGAAACTGTTAAAAAGAATTGATAAAACCAAAAAACATGTATTCCTTCTTAGGGAAGATTGAAAATAAATAGTTAATTTATCCCTAAAGTCATTTCCCCCCTTTTATTTCGGTTTAATTTTTCAGTTTTTAGTTCCTTAAGTTCGTTTTCTTTTTTTCTTATTTTTTTTAAGTTAGCATGTTTTTTTTCTTCAGTGAAATAACTCAACTGAATGATTTCTCTTTCTTTTCAAATATTCATCTATATTCATAAAAATTTAGAATTCTCTTTCATCTGCCACTTTGAAATAAGTACACTGCAAAAAGTGATGTTGATCTTTTTTTTCTATACGTTAAATAAAAATTTATTTTTTTCACGTTAGGAGTTTTCTCTTAAAATATAAAGTAACTACGCTATTTCGCACTTTAAATCCCAGTACAGTAGAAGATCTATATAATGCAATTCCATAAACCACACAGGCTTTGCGGGGGGAAACAACGAAATTCGCAGTTAAGAAATTTCTATAGCTAAGCAAAACCTATTAACTTTTTTCATTACTTGTTTAATTATTTGCTAAGAGATTAAAATTTCTAAAGGTAAACAAACCAAAATTGATAAATTTTTTCACGCTAGTTCTAATGCTGTAGTGCATATTTTGTGTTCTTAAGTATTTGTATCTAAAAATTATTTTAAAGTATTTTAAGATTGATCTGTTCCAGGCAAATCTTGCAATATTTAGTAGATGAGTTTCAAGATGAGTGATATGATCTATAAGACACGAAATTCCATTAAACGATAACCACATATTTAAGTTTTCCGTTATAACGATCTTCTACTGTAGAACATATTAATGACTTGACTGTTTAAAGTAATAAATATTAAACAATGAAACAAATATTACTTGATTGAAAATTCATAAAAGAAAATAACAATTTACTTTTTTCAAGCGCTTCAAAAATAGGCGCCCATTTTCAAAACTTGACAGGCGTGAATGAGAAGAAACAAAAGTGGTGTAAATAATAAAACGAAAAATGAGAAACAAAACTAGAAAAACCGCATTGGCCGAGAGGGGCAAATCAGTTTAAAATACATTTCGCTCTTGAAAATGGGCTTCTATTTATGAAGTGCTTGAAACATTTGCACTTTATTCTCTTATGTATTTTTGAAGCTTACATAAAGATTAAAACCTATAAATAATCTTTATGTAAGCTTCAACCCTGCTACTTAATAAAGATTAAACCTTATAAATAGAGAAGGATTGAAAAAAAAAGCAAAAATGTAACTTAGTGTAACCCAGTGTTTCCCAATCTTTTTTGTGCCATGTCCCACCTAAGCCTTTCTAAAATTCTTATGCCCCCCCCCCCCCTATGTAACATTTACATAATTTTTAATATTAAAAAATCGAATTGTTCACTTAAGAAACTTAGGAAATTGTTAGCGAAACAAAGTAAGTAAATTTTCAGAACATATAATGAAAAACTAAAATTCAAATTCGAAATAATTTTAAGATTCTTTATACAGATTAAGTCTTTATAAAGATTTTTCTATAATAATTTAATATTTTAATTTAGTGAGATTCTTGCCCTTGATGCTTGCTACACGTTGATTTTATCTTAGGTTCCAATTTGGTTAGCTTCAGTCTCAAGTCTCCCCATTGTGTTATATCCAGACGATTTCTTTTTTTTACCAATAAAATCATTTGCACCACTAAATCCACATTCAGCTAAATATGAAGATAGAATCGGTAACAATAGATTTCTTGCACATTTGATTGAATTTGGGAATTTGTTTTCTGTTTCCTCACGAAGCCATGCCATCACTCCTTTCATATTAAATAAAGTTTTAACTGAGTCATCATTTTGCATTTCTGCAAGTTTTTCTTGATATATTTGATATATCAGACAAATCCACTAACATGGACTGCAACATCCATGTTGGAAAATAAATTTGTTTTAAATCTGAATATCTTTCTTTTAAATCAGCCGATAGAATTTTCAGATGATAGACAAACAAGTAAAGCGGTATCATTTACTTCAAATTTTTGGAGCCAATGAAACTGTTCAAAATTTTTGTTGTTAATATATTTCTGACGTAACTCAATAAGGGTAATGAAGCCAAATATATTCGCTTTTGCATCAACAAGAGTTTTATTTGTTCCTTGAAGTTTCTTATTTAATATATTCAGTTTTTCAAAGATATTGGGTAAGTAACTCACAAATGCTTTACCATCGACTGTAAACAAATACTTCCTTTCAGGTTTGTCGCTTAAAAAATCGCTAAGTCACATAATATTTATTGGCCGCAATTATTTTAGAATTTGCTTTTTTATTTCAATTTTGGCACCCAAGTCTAGCATTGCATTTAAATGGCCCGGAGCAAAAGGGTTAAACTCGTGTCGAGTTCATTTTCGAATTGCCCCCTTTAACAATCAAATTGCCCCCCAGTGGGGCGTGGGCCCCACGTTGGGAAACAATGGTGTAACCTATTAGCAAGACAATTTTGGTTTTTTAAAGCCGTAAACTTTTATATTTGATTAGTTTTACTCTCACTTGGATTTTTGTATATATAAAGACCGGATATTTGGCGGCCGAATAAGAATAATTTTTTTTTAAGGAAATCATTCATGAATTTTAATTTTTTTGTATTTAAATAAGTCAAATCATTGTTGAAAAGTAGTCAAAACTTAACTGTATTATTGATATAGGGTAAAGGGAAAAACTATAATAGTTATCCATAAGAAATATTTGAGATAAATAAAAAACTGACTAACTGATAGAAGAAAAAAAGAAGAAAGGGGGAAAAAGTTGTAAAAATTAATAAGTAAAAAAATTTAAATGATGAAAATAATATTTTCCATAAAAAAGTATGCATAAAACGTTGAAAGAAGTATAGTCGATGAGGAACGCTTGTAAAAATGCCGCGCTATCCTAAAAGCGCCCATGAAAATAAAAGTCGATATTCTCGATAGAAAATTTTAAGCCGAACATCTCAGTTTTCCCAATACCGTATTTTCATGAAAAAAGAATAAAGTCTAATTAGAAACCCACTTAATTGCCACGTCATATTAAAAACAAAAGTTTTTTTTAAAGCAAAAAAAAAAAAAAAAAAATTTTATTTTTTATTGGGAGGCCTAGGTGAACAGATCACCNTTTCCTTTTTTTTTTTTTTTTTTTAAATGACGATTAAAGAAAAGTTATTAAAAACGCTCTTTAAAAAGTACTGTGTCATAAAAAGAAAAGTTCATAAAAAATCCAAAAGAGAAACAGACAAAACGAAAAAAAATTATTCTTAGTTCTTAAAAATCAACTTTAGCCTTGAAAATCGCAGATTTCTTTGTTACCGCTTACCTATGTTACCTTACAGGAAAAAAAATGTTGAACTCTAAAAAACTCTTCGTTAATATGCTGCACTATAAAATAAAAATAGCAAAAACGAAACAAAAAGAAGAAAAAATGTTCTCAGATCTTAAAACGAGTGTCGAAAATATGACGAAATTGATTTGTCTGAATATAATTAAATAAAAAACAGTTGTACAAAACTCGTAATTTAGTATAAAGATATCTAGATTTAATTCTTCCAAATTTCGCTTTTCCATTTGTCTTCCAGGACATAAATGTACAAGCATTGTGCAAGTTTTAAAACTTAAAAATTTGTGTAAAAATTATTTCGAATTATGTATAGTTAAACAGGGCGCATAACGTTTTTTAAAAGTGCTTATTTTCGTTTTTTAAAAGCCCTTAAAGGTGCTTTTTTATTGGGTGTTTTTAAAAGTCGATTAATTTTCCCTTTTCGAAAATGAGATTTATGAAAGGAAATGTCGATTTTCGCCACGTATTATGTAAAAACGTGCTTTTCATATTTTTCTATTCAACGTTTTCAGAATTCATTCAACCACAATCAATTTCAGCATTACCGTCAGTCCATAGCGTATGAAAGCGCCAATCATTTTACAGGTTTGGTGAAATACTTGCGAGACCGCATGTGCGTCTAGTGAGCTGGGTTTGGTGAGATTCTTGCACTCTCATGTGCAACTCTGCTGCATTTTGCAAGATATTCTCAATTTCAAGCTTCATTTTCCACCCTGTGAAATCGAACCGAAAAATCTCTTGATCATTTTTTAATGGCTAATATAATCAAGAAAGGAGTTCTTTGTGAAATTCTAGTTACTTTATCATGATCATGTAAAGTTTTTGAAAATTATTTTGTTATTGTACATAGTGCTTAAAAATATTTTTGAGTGCTTAAAAAATACTTAAAAAGTGCTTATTTTTGTTGAAAGATTCGGCTACGCACTCTGGAAAATATCTAAGATCTGTTTTAAAAAAATCAAATGCAAGAGAAAACAAGAAAGAAAAAAATTGTTCCCCAGAGCTGTTAAAGAGCTATTGGCTAACTTGTATTTTACATAAAATGTTGCATTTTTTGCGATTATTTATTGTTTTTAAAAATGTTTAATAATTGTGTATCATTCGGTTGAGTTTTCAAAAAATGGGGGAAAATAAAGGTTTCACTTCATTACAATTAGGGAAAATACATTTCAGAAATTTAAACTAAAGCTGAATTTTAATAATCTATCGAAAACTTGAAGTAGCTCCTGCCGTATTTTACAGTATAACGTTGGAACTTTTAAGGATTGCGTTTTTTGTCATGTTCTTTAAAAAAAAGTATTTTTGCGGTCCTGTACTGTTGATTTCACCTTAATTCATAAGAACCTAACCATAATATGCTATTTATTTTGTGGTTTCTAAATTACTCACAAAATATACTTATCCGCCGGCTTTGAAGATGAAAATAGATTAGTTTGCTCAAAATGTTAAGTCAAATTAGCTTGATGTAGAGGTGTGGTTTCTGTTCAAGAGTTCGCCGGTATTTTGTAACTTTTAATTACGATACAAAATAACTCGTCACAATTATAAAGAATTTTAACTATTCCCTTAAAAATAAAGTACATTTTAAAATTTTAATAGAAACGTCTTTAACAATTTAGTGAGATCTCGCTAGGTAGCTATTGGGAAAATTTTTTCTCCACTGNAAAGTAACTCATCGCAATTATAAAGAATAGAATTTTAAATAATTTCCTGAAAAATAAAATGTATTTTCAAATATTTA